TGGATTGATCCAGTATCAAAACTGAAAAATTATTGAAATTTAATTTTAGGAAATGATGTTAATAATGTAAAATGTGTGTTACACAATATTGTTTGCATCTATATGTTAGTAAATTGCACTAACATTATTTTCCAGCATTATCTTCAATAGCTTTGGATAAAATTTAGTAACGCATCTTTATTTGCAACTTCATTGATGCAAGTTGGTCCCTGTGCTTCATCTAAATTTCTCTTTAAACAAACAAGCATATATTTCGCACTCGTGTACAAACTGGTAAATAGGGAATGAATTTCTTCAATTTTCATATTTTTGTCTGTTGCTTCAGAGAGTAGCTTAAGTGAAATTTGGTGACATTTGCTTAGAACATGATGCTGTATAGATTAATATGTTGGTGTATATTTGTCTTATTTTTCTATGGGTGCATATTCTTGTAATTATAGTCACATATTTTTCATTCAAATAGAAGCTTATCTCTAAAATGTTACATCTTTTCATAGAATCTATTTATTTGTGAGCATTACCATTAATTTGAAAGAGCCTGTCATAGTTTGGGTCTTTTTGTTTTCCATAGATGATAAAATACTTGAGCAAATGTACCATGTTTCTTGATAACATACTTGATTAACATGTAACCAAACAGATGAAATACAAGACATACAATGTACTCCACTAAAATGATTATTTACTTCAGTTATTTATCTCGTGCAGTGTAGAGTATATTATATTATGTTTGCACCAAAATAGTTACGCTATAATTCTAACATAAACATAATATTATTGATAGTTCTTTTAGCCCCACTGTCCCACCACCCCCCTCTACAGCCAGACACGTCATTTTTAATTTTAATTTTTTCGTCAACTTAACACTATTGAAAAAATTACATAAATAACAAAATAATGTATACTATCAGAAAATATTTTTTTGATATTTTCTCCGTGCCAAATTCAAAAACAAAGTTTTTTGTTTTTGAAAATAATATATATTTTTTACTGCCTTACAATAATTTATTTGAATAGGTTATAGGATATTTGTTTGAATAAGGTGTTGAATTTAATAATAATTTGTTAGTCATTCATTTGAAAATTAATATTTGCTCACTGAAGAACGCAACTGTGAGAAGTCGAGCATAATAAGTTATATGTGCTTTAATTTTGTAGTATTAAGCACAGTTCTGTTTTCTTGAATTTCTTCAAATTTAATAAGTTTGCCACAACAAACCACGTTCTTGAAAATTTATTAGAAACTTTTGGCCGGATCCAATAACAAATTATCAGTTCCCCACCAGGAGAATGAGGCGCGTCGAATGACACTTCATATGTTTCGGTCGATGCATGGTTCCATAGTTTTGTCCCCTAATTTTTGAAGGGATTAAAACTCCACAATGTCAGTCTAATTGTGTTCGCTTCTACTTCTGCAATTGCTCTATTTATCGTTTTGTGGGCGTTTTGTAGACATTAAAAGGCGACTGTCTCGTATGTTTATATAAATTAAGTGGTAGTTACGTTTTAATAAGAATAAGTTAATTTGAAAATTGGTATTTGCGCGTTTAAGAATGTAAATGTGAGAAGTCGAACGTAATGTGCTTCTGTAGCATTACTCACAGTTTGGTTTTCTACTTATCTACGTGAAGTTAGAATTAAATAAGTTTCAAGGCAATGTATTTTTTAATACGTTTATTCGGATGCAAATTAAATGAATTCTGCCGCGCGGCGATTCATTTGTCGCAAGGTAACCTACATAGATCTATTGGTGTGGCGTTAGTTTAATTCCCGGCATACTAACTAAGATGGCAGGACTAAAACACGTTTTTGGAAATTTCGTAGAATCTTCTGGCCGAATCCTAAAACAAATTATATGTTCTCCACCAGGAGATAGATGCGTCGAGTGACACCTCATAAATTCCGATTGGTGCACGGGAAGTGATCTAACCGTGAGTATCGGATCCGCACACACGCACAGTCGCAGTCACTCAAATACTGCATATGGATTAATTTGTTCTCCAAACACAGGAAAAGTAAAATTATTATAATATAAATGTGAAGATCTCCGAAATGAAATGTCTATTTATTATTTTTAAATTTGTCCCAACATTGGGAGGGCAGTTGCCTCCCTGAATCCCACCAATGTATATTTCCGTAGAAAGAGAATTTTGTAATTTTTCAATTATGTCACAGCCTGCATGCCAAATTTACTTCGTGCACGTCCCCAAGGCAAGGCAACAAAGATTCGGGAGATAATTTGCGAACGAGTGTCTACTAATTCTCACCGATAATTTCCACAAAAAATCGATAGTTTTGTATTTTTTTAAATGTGTTAGTGATTTATTTATTTTTAGTCCTGAAATATTTTTGTTTAATTTATGAGGCCCTAATGTCTTTAATGTTCGTAGGTCCTAGGCACTGTGCTTCCTAGTTAATCCGGGCCTGATTCTGACGTAGGGCACGATCACGGGGTCGTGCGTGAGAAAGCATAAGACATAATCATTCCTTCTCATGAATTCACTAAATTGTGTTTCTGGTGGTGATCATGTTATGGATAAGAGGAGATAAACAGAATTTTACGAGACAGCGTGACTTATGTTGCTAAGTCATATTTGTGACAATCAAATCGATGTACGAATGTTAATTAACTAATTTAAGTTCCAGCAAAGATGGCTCAGGCCATCATTCCTTTCCCGCAGAACCGCCGTCAGGCATTTCATCACGGGAAAGGTGGATTGGTTTCTCGCTCCATAATCACACGTCACGGAATACTCCTTCGAAGTCGCTTCTCTACCCGAAGCTTTTTGACTCATTATTTGATTACTAGTGATTGCGGGCGCGTTAACTAATGAGACCCGTGAGTGTAGTGCTTGTTTTTGGTAAGGGAGGTAACGATAATCTTCTCCCTGAGGATGGCGAGATTCGGCGCCGACCTACCGACAGCTAGCGGGGTTTTCCCCAACCAGTTATCTCCCACCAGCGAGGCACCATTCCAGCCGGGACAAGCTCTAATCTCCCAGCTGGTCTCCCGGCATGTGTGGTACATGTAAGTGTGTGTGTGTGTGTGTGTGTGTGTTAGTAAAGGGTAGGATAGAACAAGGAATGGGAAGATGAAATGCCGTGGGATGCCCGTTTGGAAGGGTACTGCTACGGCATTCGCCGGAATGGAGAAACCACGGTGAACTACCGATCAGAACAGCCAGCGGCTAGAATTCTCCTCCAGACAGCGGCTGAACTCGACGTAGCTATGTAGCTAGTGTCGAAAGTCCTGCCACCTTCGGGAGTGGAACCCAAGGACCTCTTGATCAGAAGCATTGCAGTGACATCAGTTGATGTCCTGAGCTACCTCTCACGGTCCGAAGCTTCTTGAAATACTTGGTGGCATAGGTGGTTCCCGCACTCCAAATCTCTTGGGATCCTAGAGACGATAGTTTCAGATGCAATTACTTGCTGGACGAGTCTCCTTTACGACGCGTTGGCAATGAAAAACACGTGCTCCTTCAACCAACAGGTGAGGATTCATCGCCCATCCGAAAAAGGATTTGGTATGAACGTTAAGACCCACGCTCGGTTAACAGGGTCAAACACCGATCCACATTCTCGTGTTTCCTTTGGATCCAATTCGTTACATCGCGGATAAGACGGAAAGTCGATCTTCCAGTGGATGACAGGACCCAACGCCGTTGCCACTGGGCCAATGTCACTTCCCTCTCTTCCTTCATGATGATGTTCCTATTTGTAGCTCCCTCTTGCTTAGTAGGCCTGTAGAGCCTGTTTCTCTCTTGCGCCATGAGGTCTACAGTGGGCATGGTGGCTATCACGCACAGCGTCATACGAAACCATGCGTAACGTCGGAGCCACCTTCCAGGCGGACCTTCTATACGCTAACTTCGCACGAGTCAGAGCGAACGACTCGATCCCAATGGATCGACTGTCCTCACCGATCAATCGATGATCGACTGATCGATTGATCGATGTTGGGCGTACGACTGGATCCCAATGGCATCATCCCAAACGAGGGTTACGTAGAGCGGCATGGAATTGACGGTGCTAGTTGGAACCTCTACGTTAGGTGTAATTCGTGCTTAGGCCATGCGAGACGATCTCTCGCTGACAGTGGGCAAGTCGTCAAAGCACAATTTCACGTCAAGCTGGACTCCGAAGAATCTTAGAGAATGCCGAGAGGCTGTTTTACATCCTCATACATTGGGAGTAATACCCCTCTCTCACTTTTCTGCATGTCACCAGAACAGTTTTATGCTCGTCCATCTGGAGCCCCACCGACGTTAGCCACGCCTGGATCTCAGCCACCGCCTCTTTGGCCACCTGCGTGACGTCTTCGGTGTATTTGCGGTCGACTATCACCGCAACATTGTCAGAAAGATCAATAACCCATGCGTCTTCGGGTAGCTGCAGCTTCAAAACAGCGCCATGTATAATATTCCACAACAGTGAGCCGAGCACCATGTCTTGTGGAACACCACACGAAATACCGTAGGTCTTTATTCTAGCTCCGTTTGGTATAGCTGGATACTCTGTTCTAAGCAACTTCCAACAATGTTCACAATACTGCGATATATGCAACTCTGCGTGGCAGGTATGAGCTGTTGACGATTTCAACCAATCGGGAACTTGAACGTCACCATAGTGACGTAATACGATGATAATAATAAAAATCATTTTCAAAATGACAAGCATCCAACCACCGTTCTTGGAAAATTTCATTTTTAATTAAGATAATCACCACCAAACCTCCACTTCGCAACCATACGACTACTGCTGTTCATAAATGGAAAAGGAAACGTTACACTTCCGTCTTCGGTCGTGGATTTTCAAGTTTGTGGCAGCACGTGGCGACATGAAGTGAGAAACTTTCCAATCAGTTTTAGCAGTCGAGACTGCATATGCGCATTTTTTAAGAAGTTTAGAAACTTTACACCGATATAACTGTCAAAGAGTATTTCATTTTTTACTTTGTTCTTTTGGTACATGTTTAAATAAAATGTTAATTAACAGTAGAAAATGTTTTTTTTATGAATTAATAGAGAACTTACGATTAAAATCTTGAAGCATTCATTCCCTTCCAATGTTTTAAAATGAAGGCTTGTTTCTGCCATAACACAATGAGCTCGATTCTTGTAAATTTTAAAATGATCTTATTATTATCGTCCTGCTGCTAAAATGTTTTAAAAAATTTTCTTTTCGATTATCTGCTGTTGCTTTCAAATTTCAACAGAAGAAAGAATTCAATTCAAATCAGATGAAGAAATCTCTCATTCCGCTCGTTAATATTGATGTTTGTTCATATGTTCTTCGTCTCAAAACCAACAAATTTTTCTTCTTCTTTTTTTCTGTTGAAATTGTTCTTATGTTTGTAAATCTCGATGGCTTCCATTTGGAGTCTCTTGTAGTAGTGTGTGGTGGTGGAGAGAATATCCGTCGCTTCAAAGCGCATGTCGTGTCCGCGTCCCGACAGCGCGTGATCGGCGACTGTTGACTTATCAGTATGTCCTGGACGGCAGTTCCTTTTGTGTTCTTTTATCCGAGTATTAAATGCTTCTCCCTGTAGTACCTATGTATACGGAACAGCAAGAGCAAGGAATTCTATATACTCCAGCTAAAGACATGCGATCCTGGGGATCTTTGGCCTAACGTAAAATATTACGGAGTTGTTGGGTGGGTTTAAAGACAGTTTTAACCCTGTGTCTTGTTAACAGTCTTCCTATGCGGTCCGTTACCCTCTTCACATAGGGCAGGAACACTACCGAGTAGAGTATCTTCTGTGTGGTTTTGTTCATCAGTCTCCCTCTTCGGGTGAAGAGCTCGTCTTACTTCGCTGGGCTTGTACCCGTTGGCTTGTCAGGTCTTCTCAAGGTGTTGTAGTTCTTCGGGTAGGTGGTCGGGTTCGCAAATGCGTTTAGCACGGTCGTAAAGGGTTTTGATCATAGCGCGTTTTTGCCGGGGATGATGATTTGGGTTTTTGTGTAAATAACGATCCGTATGCGTAGGTTTCCGGTACACTTTATGTCCAAGGGAACCATCTGGATTCCTGTTGACCAAAACATCTCAGAACGCGAGTTGTTTATCTCTTTCCATGTCCATGGTAAACTGAATTCTTGGGTGGATATTATTGAGATTATCCAAAAAATCTGATAACAAGTGTTCACCGTGACTCCAAACCACGAAAGTATAATCAACATATCGAAACCAGTATCGGTTTCTTACAGTCTTCGAAATACTCCATGTAAAGGTTGGCCACGATCGAACTCAATGGATTGCCCATGGCTACACCGTCCGTCTGTTCATAAAAGTTACCGTTTCATTGAAAATAAGTGGCAGTGTGTGTTTAAACAGTAAGACGATATCCTCTGGGAAATATTCAGCTAAGAAATTTAAAGTCTCCTGTACTGGAACCATTGTAAACAGCGATGTGACATCAAAACTCACCAAAAGATCGTCGGGTTTTAAGCGAAGTCCTTTTAATTTATCAATGAAGTGAGAGGAATCCTTGATGTGTCTTTCTGTGTTACCAATGTGAGGTTGTAGTAGTTTGGAGAGGTATTTGGCCAATGTGTACGTAGGGGAATTAATAGAACTCACAATAGGCCGTAGTGGCGTGTCCGGTTTGTGGATCTTTGGTAAGCCATATAGACTAGGAGGTAGCGCCTCCTAAATCTTTAGAAACTTCTGTACCTCAGGTGGTATAGACGATTTCTTGATTAGGTCATTGGACTTGCGTAAAATAGAAGCCGTAGGAGCTTTGGGAAGAGGCCTGTATTTATCGGTATTCAAAATGTCCCTGATTTTCTGTTGGTAATCTTCAGTGTCCATAATGACAGTCGCATTACCTTTGTCTGCAGAAATAATGATGATATCCTTATTCCCATTTAAGTTCTTTAGGGCAGATTACTCTTTGTTGGTAATATTAACACCTGTAATATATACCACCTGTTTGCAATGTACCACCTGTTGCCAATGTTGTTGTTAGTGTTTAGTCGTCATAATAAAGCATTTATTTTATACTTTGGATTTGCCGTATAAAAAATCGATGCCGGGAAGGCTACCTTCCCCAATGGAGACTGTTGAAAGTCTAATTGTATACTCAAATTACTATCTACATACTAACACACAATACGTCATTTTATTCCTTTTCATGATATATTCATTGTTGGTAAAAAAAAATATAGTTCTATTTAAAAAATCAAAGATTAAATTTCTCGAAGATTAAAAATATTATAGATCATTTCTCTAAGGAATTTACTGGCGTCATGAATCCGCATTGTTAAGCGATAACTGTCTTTCGACATTGCAAACCGTTTAGAAGTTATGAGGGTGGCCCCACTGTTGGTGGGACACCTGAACATTAAAAACACAGACACACACAAAGGCACATACACGCACGCACGTGTATAATTATTGGGATCAGCTTTTCGGCTGCATCCCTTGGAAAGACAAGGTTGTTAAGACTTGAGTTATGAGGTGATAGGATGATGGTGATGGGACAATCACATACAACCATGCCCAAGCAGGACTCGAGCCTGCAGCCTCCTCGGCGCCATCGGCTGCTGTTGCAACCGTCAGCGCTATGGGTTTAAGTACCTACACTTTTGTGATGTATTTTTAGTCAACATAAGTTTCATGTGTGTGAAGTTAAGATATTCTGCCACCAAGTTATCCTACTTAATTCCAAAATTAATAATAAATCTAATCTAATGTATTGAAATAAGCAAATTTTTGATAGAATGGAAAAGAATATGAAGCAAAATTGTGTTAAATGAGCTACCTTTAAAAAAGCCTAAGATAGAAGCTTTTAATTTGAAGGACTAGGGAATTTAAAAGAGACATCAAAATTTAATTGAATTCAATTTGTGAACATTTATAACATTAAATAGCTAATTTCATTATTCACAGTCAAATTATTGTTCCCACCACTAGAAATGAATTCAATTTTAAATCTTTATTTGAATTTAACTATTTGAAAGTATTTGATATAAGACTAAAAAATACAATTAAACTATTGGCTTTGTATTTAAAAATTATTTTGTTACCTGCTCAGTAGCATAAATAAGAAATAAACCACTAGACTTCATTGCAGAAAACCATGGATTGAGAATTATTTACTTTATTATCACTTATACAAAAATCATTTATTGCATGTAATTTCATTTGAGAATAATATGACTCCAAATTTAATTCATTTATAGATTTGAGATGGGATTAATAATGAAAAACTTTTGAATATCTATATGAATTTGCTCTTTGTTTATTAATGTATCTATGTGGACTATAGCTTTTTCAGTTCCCTTTCCCATTTTGAATCCAAATTGACATCTCTCTACTACATTGAAATTCTTAAATAATTACGCAAATTTATTTATGGTTATTCAAAAACTATTTGGGAAGAGACTCTACAAGTCAAGAAATCATGCAAATGTAGTTCCTGCTGATACATCACATACAGTTTTTACCGTCCTTTAACAAAATATATCGAATCAAATCTACAATGACTTTTGAGATATTGTAAACTAATGAACATGTTTGGTTTAAGGTGTTTAAACGGGTTACATGAAAATGATAATGACTGAAAGATGATTATTGGCCGTATATTGAATTTAAAAGACACACACATGGGGAAAATTTCAGAAGCCAAAATATATATCAAAATACAGTTTTGAGGGTAACCTTTCACACAAGAGCCATTCAGTTAGGCTCTTTCTGATGTCAGTATGTATATAAACACACTAAATCATTAGAATTTTATAACCAGCAGATAATTTAATAAGAAATTAAGAGGAAACTCAGGGGAAAAAATTGTTTTCAACTAGGGCCAATGTACATCAATGTAAAGGTGAAAATTAAAATTTGTACACATAGACCTCATTGACACATTTACTGAGAATGTCTTTTAACATCCCTATTCAAATGAGAACTAAGTAACACATAGATTTAAGAAGAATTTTTATTATGAAATAAAGGGAACAAAACATATGGATAAAGGATTACTGGAGTTTTACACTTCACAATAAAAATAAAACAAGGAAAAAATAATTAACCAGTGAACAATAATTCAATCACTTTCTTGTGATATGTATTCATAATCTATGTTTCAATAACAGAGTAATTACCCTTCAATTTCTGCAAAAGGCATGTAGCATTGATGGCACGAATTCACTTAACTTATATGTTCGATCTTATCTGAAACAATTTGATATTCCATGTGAACAGAGGTCATATTCTAATCTGCAGAGTATTTGGCAGTTCAGAATTTTATTAAAAAGTTCTTCAATGTTTTCAATATTAGAAGTCAAGGACTACTTTGCTTTCAATCCTATTTTCCTCCATTTACATTTGCTCACTTGTGTAGAATAATAATGTTAATGTTGACTTAAAGCGATACAAGGTATTTTATTTGCTATCTTCATTGCAAACATTTCTGCTCTGAAGCCAAAGTCGCATTACCTATCATTAAGACAATTGCTTTTCTCCTCAACACTGATGAAAAATCTTTAATTCTAATTAAAAATAAATGAATTTACTTCATTTTTGGCAAAAATAATAAACTCCTATGAAATTTAAAATTTTAAAAAACTCATTCCTTTTCAGGTTTTTATTTTCAACAGGCAGACTTCCATGTGAACTTGGGTGAAAGGCAATATTAGCAGTATAAAAGTGAAATTACTATGCCTAAAAACTTTGCAGCACATGTACTAAAAAAACCAAAAACATGTGTAATATATTTTTAAGAAACAAAAAAAGCAGGTCCACAGATGGATATTTTGGGAACTTTTTCGCTGTTTTGTGACAAGTTCAAAAAGGAAAATAATAATAACTTGGTACACCCACACTCCCATGGCTCCATCGATTTCATAAATGAAAAGTATAGAAATAATGTAACATATCAATTTAAATAACTCAAAAACATCCACAATGGTGTTAGTGAGTTTCACAATACTGACGATACATTCATAAAAATGGCTCACCAAACACCAAAATACAAAGACAAACAGGTAAAGATGCCCATTTAAACAGTTTGAAACTTCAAAAGTTGTGAAATCATCTACCATATTTTGGGTTACTTATAAATTTTGTAACTGGAAGCACAGCAGTAACTAGAACCTAGAGATTAGAAAAAACTAAAATGCATACTGCTGAAAAGTTTGTGAAGTCGTATACACAGCTTCCAAATACAATTTTATAATTGTTTTAACAAAATATATATTGTACAATTTATATTGTGTCTACAAAATATTTTCAGTAATATGAATGTATGAAATTTGAATGCAAACAATAATCAACATAACATTAGGTGAAAGGTGGAAACCCACGACCCATGCCAAGTTTTGCACCCAATTCCCGATTTGTCATTCCCTTCGGCAGAGATTTTGGTACCCGGCGAGGTACGTTAGCAAGATTTGAGGGTTCTGGCGTAGAGTTATCAGAACCTAATTGGTCAAGTCTCTTACGCTCCTCAAGGCGGAACAGTTTTCTTTCTGATTTAGAAGCCCCTTGAATATTTCTAATCACACACTTATTGTTTATATGTTGACTTGGGATATAAGATGATTGATAGTCAACATTATCCCAATTTTCCTCACTAGTACACAATGGTGGATAAATGTCTGGTAGATTTTTATTTACATGGCTTTCATCCTCTACCTGGAATTTATACATTTCTACGATCCGTTTATCTGGGCATTCAAGGAAATGCATTTGCATTTCAGGCTTAGGAATACGATGAGTAGTGTTGAATGGGCAAGTTCCAAGTTCCTTCAATGAATGTTGCTTCTCACATTTTGTAATATGGTATTGCAATCTGCTCCTGCTAATTTGATGCGAGGGATTAAAAGGGCAGGATACAATTTCATCCTGACCTCGGATAGCAGCCCTCTTGAAAGCATTGTAATCTACCATAGTAACACTTCCTGCAAAACAACCTGCATGCAAACAATTTAAACGAATATCGTATGAGAAGATTTACTTACGTAAAAATGCTATAATAAACGAACACATCTTCTGTGTGTTCACTTTCTCACCTTAAGTCATTTAATTAGAAATAGTAGTCCACAATACTTCTTTTGTACCTTTATTCTAAGGTGTTAGACATCTAGTGGGTTTGCGCAGGGAAGCAAAATCCTGATCCTACTCTGAACTATATATCTGAATAGTGATGGCATCCAGAGGGGCACCAACTGTCGATTCTGAACTCTTCTGACTCTTCAGACTGCTCTCAAGAAGCGAGTCTAAGCAAAACCCCTTCGTTTTAAACATAGCATCTGTTGACGTAAATGAGCTATTACAGTGTTATCCAATCGGGAGCTTCGATGTCTATAATAGTGACGTGTTTAAGCTTCCGATTGGATGTCATATTAACAGCTGATAATATATCACAGTGTACACTGTAACACCGTTGTTTCAATCCAGCCCTCGAAATATACCTCTCGTCTTGGCATCACTCTGGGCCTGCTTTACGCTCTTCCCAGTTTGGGTGCTTGGCGCTAGCGTGTAATAAATGAAAGGGGAGGGGGAGGTGGGAAGGAATCTCTCACTACCCCGTACGTGACGTTGTTCGGAGAGAGGGGAGGGGGAAATATACCTACTCTTTCGGAACTGGAACCCCTCCCGCACTTAGGGGGGGGAGGGAGTGCGTGGAGGGCGGTCGCCGCTCACGGATGCGGGCGGACGTGGGCGACCCGGAAACGCGCGTCGCCTGATCGTGAAGGACGTCGCGACGCCACGGACACTTGAGTAAAGTCGGCGCCGTGGCGTTTAAAAGCAGTGTAAATAGTGCTGTGGGTATGAATGAATGAATGGGATTGTAAATATAGCCTAATGCTGACCTTACATTAGCAATACGATTCCGCAATATCTTTTAGAAATTTGTTTCTGCTTCTTACGGTCATCTTTACACTAGCAAGAGCAAGGAGGGGCAATTCTTTACCAGAAAGATCTGAGCAAGATCTTTCCGGCAAGATATTGCCGATCGCATTACATTAGGACAATTTGTTGCCGTGTTTGGTGACGGCGCGAGGAAAATGGCGCATGAAATTAAGTGAGGTTCTATCTCAATTCCTGACATAACTAGTGGAAGGCAGAAGATTCGAGTTGCGGTCGCACGTATTGTGCTAAATGAGGAGATGAAGTAACGCTGACGATTTGTGAGGACGTGTGATTGAATTTTAAGAAGAAAGGAAAAGGGGGCTTGTGCGATTTAGGTAGAAGTGTCTGAATATTTTTTCAAAAAAAAGGATTCGTAGATTTCGCTTCCCGTGGGAGCAAAGTAACTTTCTTTAATAAAAAGTGCAATTACTATTTCAGCAAAAAGTTTTCAAATATCCATTTCCTACAAAGTATATAATATAGAGTAATCTTAAAATTGATTTAGATTAGATTAATATCTATAATTTTTAATGTAAAAAATTAATAATTAGGGGGCATCTATGGCTGAATCAAAATTTCAACCTTTGATAATCAACCATAGAGGGAATATTTATTACTACTTTTATTGCCGTAAACCCTCACACACCCATTTTGCTAAAAAATGCGTATTAAAATGGAAATTTTACGTCTATGTACAACCGTACGTACCTCCTGCGTATGAGACTGTGGTCATCATTGGCTTCTTCCGGCAATATCTTGCTCATTCTTCAATCCAATTCTAGTCCTAGCAACAGCCGGCAATATCTTTTCGAGGATGGAAGCACATAAGTTTACTTAAGGACCGGAATATCTAGCAAGACATATTGCCAACATCAGAAATATTTATTGCCGCAATGTTTACATTGGTAACTTGTCTTGCGAAATAATATTGCTCGCCATTTTCTTGCAAGTGTAAAGCCAGCTTAAGAATGAATTTCCTGTGAAAATGAATAGAAAAGAAGAAACAAGAACAATACAAAGAACTAATCTAAACATCAATATGACTAAACAAAACAAACAATTCCCAAAGAGGAAATGTAATTAGTTTTAAGTTGGTATAAATTAGTTTATTTAAGATACCTCCCTTGCAATCTGCCTCACCGGCTGCAGGAATTATGTATCCCAAACGTAAATAAATTCCCGCCTCTCCAGGGTAGCTTGAGAGGGGGAAAATCCCTCCCCAGCCGGCTTCAGGCATGACGTAAGAGTGCGTAACCTTGTTGAAATATGCGGTGTGCTCCAGATGATTGCAGATGCCAGCTCCAGATATTACTCGCGCAACTTTTCTTGA